TTAGCTACCCTTAAAGATGAGTTGATAGTGATCTACTTCTCTTTATTTTAGTCTATTAAAAGATTCTATGCTTTTTCTCTAGCGATACGAAGGCTTTAGTAATTGCAACAATTTTTTATAATATAATATGATCATATTCTATAGTTGATTTCTCAGCAGGAAAAAAATTTTCAATACTACTACATAAAATGTTATCAGAGCTATTTTATTTTACATCTTTAATTAATTTCATAATAATAATATCATCATAGTTAACTTAGAAAGCCATAGATTTATTAATAATTCATATATTTTTTATTAAATTATGGGTTGAATAAAAATAGGAATCAAGTTGATATTGTAAAGAAAGCTATTAAATTCATTGTTCAAGCATAATTGAAAATCTAATAGCATAAATCTTTTAGAATAGCTTATACCTATGCAAATACCCTTTAATAAATTGTAACATAATTTTAAATTTAGCACACTTTTAATTATTTTCTTAACAAATAAATTTGAGTATGAAATAATTTAATGAAATGATTTAAATATTAAATTGTGCATTAAATTTCAGCGTTTTGAAACATAATATTAATTAAAATTATAAATTCATTATACTAGGATGTACATTCTTCATTGTTTTATAATTAAGATTAAAATAATTCAGTCAGTGATGATTCAAAAATATGAAAATAAATTTAGACTATTCTTATGTATCTTTAGAAGATCTATAATTAGTAGTTCAATTTGGAAAATAGTTCTATTTACATTTTATTCCATAAAGCTATTTATTACTTACATTTTCAGTAATTAATCTACAATTAGATGGTTTGTGTAACAAAATCATCTAATTATAAAATTGACCTTCTGATTTATATTTAATATCCCATTCAGGTTATCATAACTCAAGTAATATACTTACTATTCCCATATTTCTCAGTTGAATTGGCACAATTATTAAAAGATAGATTATCTTCATTTTTCAAAGCAGACTGTTCTACTATAGCGAGTCTATTCAAACAGTATATTGCTTTATGGTAATCATTTTGGATTTAATTTATTCTAATCAATGTATTGTAAATATTATACACTCAATAATATTCTACAAATCATATAAAGTGTTCTATACATTTTGTTATTACACTATTCATTTCCAGATATCCAAGTACATTCTTTATAATTACTCTATATTTATTTATTACAATTTATTAATCCGGAATTCTTTATCCAAGAATGAAATCAAATACATATGTGAAAATTTTTTTAGCATATAAAGCACAACATTTAAGATATTTGAAAATCTATTTATTCATATTATTAATAGCTAGATACAAATAAAATATTTAGAAACTTCTTATTTAGATTTACGATTTTTTATATAAAAAACTCAATTAAATTTATAATTGAAGAAATAGAAACCAATTACAATCTTTAAATATAAAGATAGCTTTGTTGATTGAGATTTAAACTTAGAAAATCTCAAAAATGCTAAATATAAAATAATTTTTTGTGATCATATTCATTCTAAGACTATTTGGCAAGTATGAATTTTTGAAAAAATATAAATAGAATTCAATCCCAATAAACAAATGAATTAAGAATTTATCACTCAATAATTTTGGAGAAATTCAGATTGCGACTAAAAACTGAATAAAAATACATTATACATTCCATTAAATTATAAAATTTCTAAATATTCTAAAATAAGATTTTAAATTAATTAATAGCATTTTTGAATTAGCATTCTAGAAAAATTCCGCAATTTTAGGATAAAACTATTATATGTTATCAGAATTATTAATTTATTCTTTTTTTTAATGAATTTCTATATCATTTTTACTAGATTCAAAATAACTTTTTCATAAACTTATTTCTATAAACCTAAGCTTTAGGGCGGCTTTTGGTTAACTGAAGAATTTATCAACATTTTTAAATCCTTTATCTAATATTAAAAATTTTTTTGTTAAACTTCAAATTCTTTATCTTGTCTTAGGTCCTATTTTTTTAAAGATAAAATAAGCTTTTGATTCTTATATAAATATTATAGTTGGATTTGTAAATCTTTATGATAGCCATAATAAAAAATTTTATTTTTTGAAAATTTCTTATTTAAATATTCAATGATATTATCCATTTTTGAAGTTTCGTTAGAAGAAATCAAAAATTATTGAATATATAAACTCTTGACATAATAAGTGATGATTGATTTTGCACA